TACCCCTCCATAAGGCACGGGACAACTCAATGCTGGCCGTCGGTGGGGTTTTCATCCGCCGAGGCGTCGATCCCTGGATTAAACAGCAATTGAAGCAAAAGTGAGCTTGGCTAATTTGTTTTATGTTTTTTTAATAAGGTTAATTATCATTTAGATTAACCCTAATGGCAGAGTCGGGTTTACTATTATGGCGAACGAGAGTTAATAAAATCATTGCCAAAACTGAAGAGTTGGTCCGTTCGGACATTTACTACAAAATTAATATCCATCACAACTCAGACACCGTTCACACCATAAGAGTTGCCGATATTTATATATTTTTTAACATTTATGCTTTTGGCATAACGTCTGCCGCCATATCATTAGTATTAGAAATATGTTGGAAATGTGTTTACAGGATATTTATAATATAAATAATTTTTGTAAAATGTAACAATATGATCGAAAATTTATTTAATTGATATAGTTTATTTGTCGGATTAAATAAACATATTTTGAAACAAAACAAATTAACTAACTGGGAATCTTGAAAATATAGCCAACACCTTACACCCAATGTTTATGCACAAAGTGCATAATATTGTTATATGTTATATGCATACTTACAATATGTTATATGCATACTTTTCATTATGCATTAGTATTAATAGCAGTACTAATATGCATTAAAATATATACATTTACATGAGATTAGCTCTTGCTTACCTTAATATAATGAAGTACTGATAGTATTGCATAACAGATATTGTTATTTTAAACAATTGACATACATCATATTATTATTTAATTGGATATTATTGATTAAATTTAATAAAATATGGGTTATAATAATTAATATTTTATTGCGTCAATTTTTAGACTATAAAAATTAATTCATAATTACAATAATATTTTCAATTATTTATAAGTAATTTATTTTCAATTATGCGGAAATAAAATTGTTGTATCAGTGATGTTGTGGTACAGAATACCGTCGAAAACCAATTTTGATATCAATAATTTATTTAATGATATATACTATTCAAAAATTAATGTAATTTTTTCATGCAATATATTTTGAAAACATATAATAAATAGGTGCATGTAGATGAACCGATATTATGGATAAAACCTCTATTTTTCGGGAATAGAAACACCCAAATTTGAGCGGGAATCGGGAGCATAACACAGTCAAATTTGGGAATAAAATCGGGAATTAAAATTTATGTTATTTTGATATTAAAACAATAATTTTGCATTTAAATATTATAATTTTCATCAACATTAATATTTTTTAAACAATTTACACAAACACTTTCATTTTCGATTATAAAATCATTATTTGATTTTAAATTATTTCTTAATTTAAAACCAAAATTTCTCTTATGTTTTAATGAATTGTGATTTAGAGTAATGGATATGTGATTTTAAAATGGCATGAAATGAAACACATGTTTTTCATATTAGACATGCAACTTTTTCCAATTTTCATTTCCCTGCCCTGCCCTGTTCCCTGTAATTTTTGCTTAGAGGGATAACCAACATATATATCCCTGCCCTGCCCTGTAGAGGCTAACAGGGAACCCCGGGGATTCCCTGTATATTTTTTTAATGTATATTTCTTATAAAAACTTGTATTTATTCATTATATTTCATTATTTCAATAAATAGACTTAAAATACATGTATATTATAATAATATAATTGTATTACAATCTTTTTATAACACAAAATTCATTTACAACTATTGACTTATTTATCACTCACTTTCTGTATTACAGGGAATTTACAGGGAAATTTTGTTACAAGGATTCCCTCTAAGGGTTACAGGGATTCCCTGTCCCTGCCCTGTTCATTGATTCTCATTTCCCTGCCCTGTATTTTCCCTGTACAGGGAATGGTAGCCGAACGATCCTATAAACCACATTATTCCTATCAGAATAGTGGTTAAAAAATATATTAAACCTCAAATCATTCAATTACCTAGTAGTCATAATATAAGTGATATTTGTTGCGGTTATTATCACTCACTTGTGCTGACCAGTGATGGCTGTGTATTTGGATGGGGCGGTAATGAGTTCGGACAGTTGGGTTGTGACAGTTGCGAAAATAGTATAAACGTACCAACTAAGATGCAATTTATACATAACGGGGTTGAATATAAGATACTAAACATTTTTTGTGGAAGTCATTCATCGTTTGCCGTCACAACCGATGGCCGAGTGTTTAGTTGGGGTCAAAATGAGTATAATTTAGGACACCATTCAAGTTATGATGTATTCAAACCACAAATGATTGACAATTTATTTAACATCCAAACGGTGTGTCCGGCGTACAGAAAAACATATTTTCTCACAAACGATAAAATTTTATATATTTGCGGTGAAAATCAAAACGTTAATAATTTTCTTTCAATTGAAAAACCAATAACAAATTTTTTTGTAAATGACGAAATGAACCTGGATCATATTTCCATGCTTAGATTAAATCAAACAGACATTGCTCGATTTATCGGAATATCTGATCGTATTATCTATTCCATTGATGCAATGAATACTTTGCACAAAACTAATTATACAAATATATTTGATTATTGTTTAAGTGAGATGCAAATTACATTTAAAACAATACATTTACGTAACTATAATACATACAATTACACAACTCTGGAAGCATTTAATGAAAAATGTGGATATTGTTTAAACTCATTATTTTCTCAAATTAAATTCTATAAAAAAGGTATGATTTATATTTATTAATATTAAAATATAAACTTCAGTTTTAATTAATCTTTTGATTAAAAACTCCAGAAGTGTAGTAATAGAAGATTATGATTTTAAATTCAATAAAAGTTATATTGTGTATATTACCTAACATATTATTAATCTGTCACTATATAAAAAATTTATAAGTTATACAGATTATTAAATTAATGAATTACACTGATTATTAAATTTTAAATACCTGTAGCAAAATCTTAAATCATAATCATAAATAATAATCACTAAATTATTGTTCCAAATTTCACCAACTTATACAGTGCAACTTCTCCATAATGAACGGCCAGTTGCACGACAAAAGTGTTCATTATAGGGAGGGTTCATCCAAGAGAGGTTATTTAAATGATAATTAGATGCTTTAATCTTAATTTTGTCCGATTGTTCTAACATTTGATTATCGGATGCCTTTTTGGATATAAAATATAACTATAAAATGCAATATTGAATGACACTATGAAAATGTGTTATTTGTTTGCTTAAAGTCTCAGATTAGAAACTATTTGGAATACTTTTAGGAATAATGTGCCTATTATTATATTTGTTCATTATTGGAAGTGGAAATTTTATCTTAATCTCTATAAATCCGTTTATAATGGGGAGGTATTAATTATGGAGAAGTTTATCTAAGGGAGGTTATTTTAACATTATAAGTACAGTGCAACTTCTCTATAATGAACAGCCAGTTGCACGACAAAAATGTTTATTATAGGGAGGGTTCATCCAAGGGAGGTTTTGTTATAGGTATAGAAAATCCAAAAAATATTTCAAAACCGTTCATTCAAAGGAGGTGCTCATCCAAGAGAAGTTCACCCAAGAGAAGTTGCACTGTATTTATTATGCTTTACAAATTGTGTACTTACTTAACATCATTAAAAATTTTGCAAAAAACAAATATTTTTGAAATTCAGATTAGTTTAATATAAACTATTAATAACATTAAATAATTGACAGACTTTAATTATAAGTATTACAGACTTGTGGTGTGAACAGATCACGTATTGGGGTCAGTTTGCTCAATGTTTATTTTATCCTGACTTAAAAGGAATTATTTTGGGGGATAAGTGGCGTAGCCCATTCTAAAAGGTATGGACATGTTCCGCACGGTTTATAGATGTATTTTCTTGTGAGATAATCGGCGAATGGCCAGAAATGACCGAATTATGGACAAAATTAGAAATTTATACATAGCTTTTAATGCATTGAGAAACATTCAGGTGGATAGCATTTTGGTGAATGGTCCAAGTTTTGTGTGAATCACCACTTTTCTATGCATTAAACGCTATGTATAAATTTCGAATTTTGACCATAATTCGGTCATTTCTGGCCATTCGCCGATTATCTCGAAAGGAAATACATCTATGAACCGTGCGGAACATGTCCATATCAATTAGAATGGGCTACGCCACTTATCCCCCAAAATAATTCCTTTTTAGTTTTTTTAACTAATTTTGTAAATTTGACTATATTTTAACCTAAAAATATTTGCGATTAAATTAAATTATAAGTGAGTTTTTACATTAATAAACAATATAAAATGTTATGAAATCAAAATATCAATAATTTTAGTTGCAATTACTTTATTTTTATACAAGTTTATTTTTTTTACCAAAAGTGTCGGTATTTTGTTGTTTGTCGTCACAAATACCACACAATACATTGTAAATTGTTTATTAATTAAATTGTAAATCAACTAAATAGACACTATGTTTAATGAATTAAACATTAAAATTATATGATAACAAGTTTTACAATGATATTTAAACCTATTTTAACAATATATAACTATTATGGATTATTAATTGCATTATATTTACTATTTGTGGTCTTTTAATTTCCTACAATGCAATTATCATTATCGAATACTAATATTATATTAGTAATATATTATATAAAAATGTACTAAAAATATAATCATTATTTTTTTAGCTCAAAACGAAATGTCTTTCAAATATAAAGACTTATTCGAAGAGTTGTCTGAATTGGGTTCGGGATGTTTTGGCACTGTTTATCAAGTTAAATATAAATCGACAAAAAATAAATATGCAATCAAAATTATTAATTACACAGGTAAATTTTAAAGAAATTCTATTTTTGTAAATGTTAGTAATCTCATATAATGTTTAAATCATAAGATTTTAGCAATGGTATGAAATATATGTTAAAAACGTTGTCAAACATTTTAAACTTAAATGTTGTCGAATATCACATCTTTTGGCACGAATCGTCGTTATGTTATATTGCGATGGAGTTGTGTTTCGGGAATTTACAGACAGTCTTATCACTAAAAGGCCCGGCGTTTGGCCGCCGATCGGCCGACGAAGCCTTGAATTTGTCGGAGTTTTTCATTTCGTGTCAAATATTCTTAGAGCTGTTGGAATGCATACAATATTTGCATGATTTGAGTCCAGCAGTCATTCATCGGGACCTCAAACCCGAGAATGTGTTGATCGGCAACAATGACGGCAAATGGAAACTAAAACTCTGTGATTACGGATTGACCCAAGTTTTTGAAAACCTGTCGATTAAACGAGATGCGAAGTATTTATCGCCCGAAGAAACTAATGGACAAAATATTGATTACAAGACAGATGTTTACAGTGCGGCCAAAATTGGAGAAAATATATTTGATATTCAAATGATAAGTGAATTGTGAGTAATATTATATTTTGCAATAAACAGCGAAACATTAAAACGATTAAAATGGGTTTATAGTATTAATTTATTTAAGGAGGATGAGCAGATCTGTACTGGGGGTTTATAAAATCTGTAATGGGGACATAGGTTAGCTGGTGTTTAATAATTATTTTACAAATTAACAGCGATTTGTTGTATGACATTAAACTACGTGAAATATTGAGTAATTTTATTTTTTCTATATGATCATCCGACCTCGGGTTCAGCCACAGTGACCACTTTTAGCAAGAATTTTAATTTATGAAATGCTAACATATTATATATGAAATCAATGTAGAATTCAACGAAGAATTAGATTATCGTAATAACATCTTAATCGAGTGCATAGATTTAACGTGATTTTAATTTATTTTTAGTCCGCGATTAGTCGTGGTGACTATTATATCAAGTGAGCTGAAGGTGACATAAGAATGTGTGTGGTGTTGGCGTAGATAGTAGGGGTTGAGGAATAATAAATAATTTTAAAAATCTTATCTAAAATTCAACAGTTTTTAGTAAATAACATAAAATTTATTGACTTCACCAATGTGCTATTACGATATTCTAGTTCTACATTAAATTCTACATCAATTTTATATCTGGAATGTTAGTATTAGATAAGTTAAAATTTCCCGATAACCTCTGCGGCCGAACCCGAGGTGGCTCAGCCATATCGATTATATAAGTGGACTCCTTATACAATGTAGTTTCATATTTTATAGTCAAATCCCGGGTGCCAGCGTTGGCAGATCTGCCCAACATTCTTTATTAATTAATTATCCGACAATTTAATTCACCATATTTCAACGTTTTATAAAAATAAACTTTTAATGTTCTACACTTAATATAATTATTTAGAATTAATAATAAAATTTTTTTAATTATTATGTATTTAGCTCTGAATTGTATTCTTCGGACAAAACTCTATCCAAAAGTGTGACTGAATTACAAAAAGTGTTGATTTCTATGCAATCGTTGGAACCCAAAGATAGACCCGATTGTCGACAAGTATTACAAGAGTATAACCACTGGTCTATCAATGCAATGCATTTGAAACATGATAATGACAATATGTCTATTTTTATAAATTTATTAAAACAAAATAACGATTTTGGGAATGGATATATTTTAATGAAATTAAATCAAGCAATTATACCCACAATTCTTGAGTTGACTTGGGCAGTTACAGAGGATTTCAAAATAAATAACGGGGCAGACAATTAATTAATTTTCTCAACAATGAAAAATGGCAAGTTATTATTAGATTGCTTAGATTATTAGATTAGAAAACTTATCAAAATATTCATTTAAAACCCTGTATTAAATAATATTAAATAACCATAAATGTTCAATTGCCAGTTGGCCAGAAATTAGCCTGAAAGTCAAGGGTACATATTTTAATATTTTCAGTGGAAGAATGGCTAAATTGACAATAATATGACAATAACTGACATTTATATTTAATTGTGGAGATTATGTATTGAAATTACGAATATCCATTAGATTCAAGTTATAAATCATCGATGATCATAAAATATTATGAAAAACGGCTTTAATTAATAAATTAACATTTATCAAAATAGCCATATTTAACATTATTAAATCTCTATGGAAGTTTAACATGGGGTTGAAATGCTTTGAAAAATGTCTAAAACTTTGTGCGACAATTAAAAATCGATAAATAATTAGAAAATTATTTAAGTTTGATTTTATGATAAATTATCATTAATGCTACTAAACTGTTTAAAAATTAAACTATAGTTGTTAATGAATTTAGTATAATTAAAAATGTTATTTATTTTGTGACCTTGTAATTCATAAAATTAGTTTAAAATATTACTTTTGTGTGAAATTGTTAACAATCTATTTAAAATTTTTTAATTTATAATATTTACCCAGTTAACATAATCTGTCGCCGCGGTTTTTGTGATTACAGCTAAACTAGAATAGCTAGATCAAATTAGTAAAAAGTAAAATGAAGGTGCACATGTCTAGTTTTTTTGTATCAAAAAATTATTAAAATCACGTGACCACAACACAAAAGTTTTTGGGTCAAATCGATTTGCCATGTTTTTTGCCCACCTCGAGGGGGGCTAGGAAGGGGGCGGGTATGTTAATCTTTAGAGGAGATGTCAAAAACTATGATAGCATAGTTTGATGTAAATTCATTAAGCCATCTACGAGAAATTGTTAATTTTATTAACATTAGGTCTATGGGAAAAAATGGTTTTGAAGTTGACTTTTTATAACACCAAAATGTAGTGTAAAAAAGTCAAAAGTGGGCTATTTTTGTCCAAATATTGTGTCAAATTTATAATATATTTTGTTCGCTACAAAAGAATATTCATTTGAATTTTATGAAACTTTGCTATCATAGTCTTTGACATCTCCTCTAAAGATAAGCATACCCGCCCCCTTCTTAGCCCCCCTCGAGGTGGGCAAAAACATGGCAAATCGATTTGACTCAAAAATTTTTGTGTTGTGCTCACGTGATTTCAATAATTTTTTGACACAAAAAACTAGAAATGTCGACCTTCATTTTACTTTTTACTAATTTGATCTAGCTATTCTAGTTTAGCTGTAATCACAAAAACCGCGGCGACAGATTTTGTTGACTGGTTAGATATTATAAATTAAAAAATTTTAAATAGATTGTTAACAATTTCACACAAAAGTAATATTTTAAACTAATTTTATGAATTACAAGGTCACAAAATNCTCTCTCTCTCTCTCTCTCTCTCTCTCTCTCTCTCTCTCTCTCTCTTTTCTCTCTCTCTCTCTCTCTCTCTCTTTCTCTCTCTATCTCTCTCCACTCTGTATTATAAACACAATTTATTAATTCGGTTTAAGCTGTGTAAACATCACAAGATAGTGTGGATCTACATTGCACCCCCATCAACTCTTACTCCACCTAAAAATGTATAATGATAAATAAATGATTAATATTTACAAATATACAATATTCACAAATATTGCAACGATTATTTCATAAACTTAGACTTATTCACATATACTATATAATCGCTTATTTTATACGGCCTGGGGCTTATCTACAGACGCACAGAAGAAACACCGACTCTCGGATCCGCGAAGTAGACACTGGTCCAGCGCGATCGACAAGAGAGAATAAGTTGAGACGATGGAGCCAACAAATGATAAATAAGATGGAATAGCTAATGATTAGGGGGGTGGTGACGGTGATCGACTCGAGAGGCCTAAATAGAAAAAGCACTTACCATCAAAAATAGAAGAACCCCTCTCGGAGTCGTGATATACTGTTACAATATTTTAAAACAAAGCAATCTTCACTTTTACAAATATTTTAAACTTTGAGACACAGATTAAATAAAAATATATTTAAACCACAAATAATTGATAATCTGTTTAACATTCAAACGGTGTGTCCGGCGGGCAGTCAAACATATTTCCTCACAAACAATGGATTTGTAGATTTTTGTGGCAACTATTTTAATCTTATTTCTGAGTTTTCAATTGATAGACAAACTGTCAATATATTTGGCAAAAATAATGATTCAATGGATAAATTATATTCCATGTATTCATCACAACGTAAGGCATCTTTATTAATGGCTATCTCTAATGATATACAGTCAGACTTCTATGCTGTCAACGTCTCTATGTTATCAACAAAATCCCAAATATTCACCTCATAAACATAATATTAAAATGATATCTATGTTGTCAACTAATCTATGTTATCAATCAAATTCACTGAAACCGTTTGGTTGATAACATAGGAGTCTGACTGTAATTTACAGAATTTATCACAAAAACAATTTATTGAAAACTAATTATATAAATATTTTTGATTTTTTAAAACTGAAATATAAATGACTTATAAAACAACACATTTATGCAATTATAGAGACTATTATTACGCGACAAATCACTTCAAATAATAGCGTTTATAGCATAACTAACGTACAAAAAATGTAATACATTTTTTATTTTAAAAATAACTTTTTTACCTGACACCTGAATTATGAAATTCCTTCAGATCCCTATTCCTCTTATCGAATACTTTCCATTGATATATAATATGACGTATATATCACTTAAATAAGTTGTTAATTGGAATAAGTTTTTTCGACAAAAGTGGTCACAACTCCCGAACCCCATATCTTGGGGACATCTATCGTTCCCATATTAAATGGTGACCGGGCCAGCGTTAGCATTAGGGGCTGGCATGGTACTTTTATGTTCTGATCACGTGATCTCAAATATTTTTTTGTCAAAAAAACTAGATATGAATTTTTCGAAGCTAAACGATAACTTCGTGAATCCTATAGGAAATCATTGAAATATAATTATCTTTCTCCAGCTGTAAATACCAAATTACAAATCTGTTTTAAAAAATTCTTTTGTTTATAGAATACATCTATTATCCCATTACAAATTATACATTGGGACCATCTCTATAGTTCTTATAGTTTGACCAGTAACCGTGATTCAAAATGTACTACTACCCTATTAGGTAATCAATGATTTATGGGAAATTATCGTTTAACTTCGAAAAATTCATATGTGGACCATCATTTTACAGTTTACAGATTTGGTTTAGCTCATTTCGTTTGGGAGTAATTAACAAAACCGCCCGATCGGGTTTTATTGAAGGGGTAAATATAGGGTTGCCAACTGTCCAGTATTCAAGTGGACAGTCCACTATTCAAGTTGACAGTCCACTATTTCGAGAACCTGTCCACTTAGAATTTAAGAGCAAATAGTGGACATAGGAATGTCCATTATTTAATTTTTCGGCAAAATATTGAAATTTTGTTTAAAATAGGGCAAATTATTCATTAAATTTTAACAAATTATTTGTTATTTTGAAATTTGTCAATCAATTTAGCAAATATACTAAAAAGTAACTATCATAAAGCTATTACATTATGATTTGATGTGCTTTCATTTGAATATAGTGGACAATTAAATTCTGTTGTTAATTTGATATTTATAATA